TGTTATTTATACACGGCAGTGTCGCTGCACTTGGCTTAACGCCGAGACACTACCGTGTCTCCAGATTATTTTATGGATGTGTACTGATCCATCATTTAAAAATGTTTAAGCTTTTTAGATTTAGGTAGATTAGTATTTAATATACTTTAATTTGTACTATATGGTGCATATTATTGTGTCCAATCAAATTTATTATTATTAGCTTGTCTTGTAAATCACTAAATTTATATTAATATGTTTTTCTATAGTTATATATTTTCTAAACTACCATCCAGCAAGCAAATTATAGCTTCAAGTGCTACTTATCCTGGGGATTTAGAAACATTTCTACAAACTTATATGTCCTCTCCAGTGTTAACATCACCAAATATTGATGGACCAGTTTTGATTGGAATCAAACAATTTGTGGCTGTGGTTTCGCCACATCCTAATGTGATGAAACAGGTTTTTTTCTTTATTTTCTTTATTTATAAGAACTGATAAAAATTAATTTCATTAACAAATATTCTATATAATTCATCTGTTCATATTTTAGGTACAAACAAAAATTGATGAGTTGATAAAAATTTTTACCAAGATTCCATTTAAGCAAAGCCTAGTTTTTTCAAATTATCAGTCACGGTATGTAATTATTTCTTAATTTTTATTTAATGTTTCATATTTAATTAATTTAATTATTCTATTTCTGTTATTACAGAGCTCAATCAGTAAGCAATAAAATTAATTCATTAGGTTTTTCATCTTCATATATTGCTGGAAATCAAGATATGACTAAAAGATTAGAAGCAATTGAAAACTTAAGAAATTTGGAATATAGAATTATGTTGACCACGGATCTAACTGCAAGGGGTATAGATATAGAAAATGTTAATATGGTCATAAATTTGGATGTACCTACGGATCCGGCGACATATTTACATAGAATTGGCAGAGCTGGTCGCTATGGATCTTACGGAATTTCTATTACAATTGTTACCGAAAGTGAGCTTTCATTATTCAGAAAATTATTAACTTCGATTAGTGGAGTGAATTTTTATTTGTTCAAGCTCAGTTCTGATTATACAGAAGATGTTTGGACTGACGATACTTCAGTGTTTGAAAAAATTTATTTGGAATCTGAGACAAGTTTCACAAAATTGCCAACCATTGATAAAACTATTCTTGAATCTGAAAATGGTGCTCCTATGACAATATCTATGTCAGAACGTATGTTTTCAGTAGTCGATGATATATCATCAGAAAATAATGTTGCAAATATTTCTACTGTGAAACATGAAGAATGCAACAATGTTTCACCCAACAGCACAGCAAGCAGTAACATTTTGTCAACGGAAAGTAATGTCACTCTTGCAGAATATGACGAATGTAAAAGTGTTTCACCGAAACACACGACGACCAATATGTTATCGTCAAAGAATAATGTTGAAAATACTACTAAAAAACGTAAATCGTCAAAAAATAGAAAATGTCATAAAACTGCTTCTAATAATACATGTGTAAAATCAAAATCTAATTTTTTAGATGAAAAGATAAAAATTAGTTCATTATTTCAACATTACGTTCAAAGCGAAGCTAATTCTGCAGTTAATACTTCTAAAGAATGTAAAGAAGTATCAACTGTAGAATCTGCAGTTGAAAATTCTGAAGAAAGTAAAGTATCAATTCCAAACTCGTCCAAATCAAGAAACATATATCAATTTACAATTACACCTAATTCCGATGCTCTTTCTGTTTTGGAAGAATTGAATAAAGACGTCATATTTGAAGTAGCTCTATCAGATACAGAGAATTGCAAATTATCAGATGCAGATATTGAAAACGTTATTCAGTATATGAAGGATTCTGTAATTAACAAAGAAGAAAATAAAGAAGAAAACAAAAAAGAAGAAAATGATGCATCAGTGTCTAACCACGATAAAGATGATAACGATGAAAAAATGTCTATACGAACTTCTCAGGATACTTTTTCTATAAAAAATCCTGATTTTATGCATAGTTTACCTATAAACGAATTGGATAATAGTGAGAATGATCACATACGGACAATAATAAACAATTATTTATTAATATATGCTACAAAAGTTATCAACAGCGATAATAACGTTTGTAACGACGAAGAATCTTTGTTGAGAGTAGCTTCCAAGTGGAAAGAGTTACTCGAGTTTGAAATTAATTTATTAGATAATACATATAAAGGCATGACTGATTCTTTTTACAAATTAATATATAAAGAACATTTTTCAGCTCTCAAAATTTTCCTTAATATACAGAAACGAGCTTTCTTGTGTGTTTTTCCACAACTTCGTAATGATGAAGAGGTGCAAGATACTTATATATATTCAGCATCTAATGCAGATAATAATTTATTAGATATGTACAAAGAAATAGAAGATTTCAAGAGTCGTTTCTATATATTAGGAACTAAATTTAATGCATTTTTTCCTTATCCTACAAATATTGATGAAGATATGCCGAATTTAATGATGTCAAACTCTGAGATTGAAGAATATCGCAAAGCATTACAATATTTTAGAACTTATCAAAATCCCAATGAAAAAATATTTGAAATAATAGATTATACAGCATGTTTAAATGAAACTGAAACATGTGATTTTATTCAGAAAATAAAAGAACAAAATTTGTCATTTCCGGATATGAAGGCGCTTCTTAAAGAAATTGCAGAAAGGAATGCAAAAGATGATGAATTAACGGAAAATTTACAACTATCTGAAAATTCTTCGAAAAGTGATAAATTGACAGAGTATTCACAAGTGTGTGAGGAGCTTTCACTTTTGGAAAATCAAGATAATGATATATTGCATACAACTATTGAAATAGATGCTCCAATAATAAATACAGTAAAGGAAAAAGATTCGAAGACAAAGAAAATGCAAAAAGTTGATTCCAATCAAGTTACAGTTGCCAATGAAGATAAACATAATGTACAAAATACGAAATATAACGTTTCCACTAATGCAATCTCCAATCAAAGATACAAAAAGGTAGAAATTTTGCAAACAAATGATGAAACCGATGAAGAAACTCACAGTACCTCAAGCGAGAATACCTCATTTACATCATTTGAGAAGGATGCTACGTATTCAAGTATTGATAAAGTTACTCTGAACAACCGACAGAAAATATCGCTCTCCAGTAGCAGTAGTAAAAAAGAATCCGACAAGAAGAATGTTCAACATAATAAAGTTACAAACGTACAAACTAGATATACACCTGTACAAACAAATAATATTGTTTACAATAATGTGGATGTGTTTGACAAATATAATAAACATGTAAAGTCTCATAAATGCGATTCAAAGGATAGCATAGATATAAGTAATTCGATCGCCTCCGCAAGATATTCAAGAACATTAAATTCACGTACAAGTAGGAATGCTAAGAAAGTTCTTCGACCTTCGTTGAATCCAATGCAAAGCTTTTATTCGCGAATCCCAGATTATAATTTATGTTACGATTTAGGTGCAGGAGAGGAAGCGTACTTGTCAAATCAAATTTATCGCGATTACTGGAACGGATGTGTACCTGTATGTTCTTCCAGTACATATCCACACGCTCAATCATCACGATCTAATCGCGTACCACAATACTTGAGACAGGAGACTAATGATAATTATACAAATTTAAAAGCTCATAAATCAAGCGATGATTTAGCAAACAATGTTTATTCGTATGAAACTGATATTGACAGATTTTTATCGTCATTGAGAATGCAAACTGATCAATTGCACCTGGAGATCTACAAATCTCAAATGTTGGAAAATTAGACAAAGTACGATTAATGATCATGCGTAATTAGATTAATAAACGAGATATACAGAGTATCTTGTTTGTTCAGTTATACGAGAGACATTCAAATCGTACCGCGAGCGCATTTTCGTCAAATCCTTTCTCACGATGTGTTTATGATCAAGCGGCGGCAAAGAATGACATGTGAATCGATAGCGAAAGGTCACGCATCGCAGGTACTTAACACGCATCGACAAGACTTGAACTGTGTGCCGGGGGTAACCTTTTCCTACCGATTCTATGCTACTTGCGGTTATGCAATTGGGTTGATCTTTCGCGATCGAGTCTTGTGTAGTCTCATCGATCAAATATTGTCGGTTGTCAGCAGTAAGGATATTTTACCATGTACAATCATTTTCTTTTTATAAAAATTAGTGTCTATTAATACGCATATAAATATCATGTATTTATTTTATAATTTACAAATCATATGATCTACATGTTGAGCGATTATAATAAGAACAATTCATTTTTTTTCCTGTATATAAATATTTTTTTATCTATAAATGTTTTATATATATAATGGCAAGATTAGATTTTATTTTTAATTAAAATCATCCGATTTAACTTTAACACTTTCCATTTTTTTTTATGAAGATAAAAACGAATAAAATAAATACAGAAAGAAACATGTAAATTTGACTAAATGCCCGTTTCTATCAAAGTAGATCAATTTTAATCTTGGTTTAACTTTTTATCTTTTCCTAGTTTTAAGCATTAGAAAAGGATAAAGAGTAAATAACAGCATCGGGCTGCTGAAGCATCCTAGTCCTGATGAAGTGAACTGCAATGTTTACAAAACGTTGGTATTCTAGTAATGGATTTGGACACAGAGATAACTCGTGAGATGCATAGCTTTTGTATAAAGAGTAAATTGAGAGTTTATCTATTTTGGTAGAAATTAACATAAGACTAAAAACATTAATAGAGATTCTATGTTTTTACCAAAATAGATAAACTCTTAATTTACTCTATTAGAGATACATAACGTTTATTCTAACGTTGAAAACCTATAGAGATCTATTCGGCAGTGACTCGTTAAAAACTATCCGGTCCGCCTGAATAAATTTATTGATATTAAGTTGTCAAATAATATTCTACGACATTCGTTCGCCACTGCCGGCTATGTTAGAAGGATCAGGTTTCTAAGGCGTCCTCATCCTTAGGGGGGAGGGTGAAGGGGGGAGGTCCGGACTAGAGCAAGAGAAAAAAGGGGAACCACCTTACGAAACTCGTCTCGTGAGAAATTCGGAGTAAACCCTTGTCTGGTGCCCCTGTCCCTTTATTCGCGAAATGATTGTGTTTGAGGTGCGCGCCTAAGAGCAAACTTCAGTCGATGACCACGTGCTTCCGCGGGAAGCAGTGCGTCGCGTGCCCGCGATTCTCAGTGTCCGCGTACATTTCGTTGTCGTGGTGTTAATTGGAAAATCGATCGTTTAACGTGCGCGTTTCGTCGGTCCAGCGATCGTCGTATTTTCGTCGACAATCAGTAGTCAGGTCCGCGTATCCCGGGATTGCGAGATATGTCGTATATACGAAAGTACTTCAAGAGGACGCCGGTTTACGTCGTGGAGGACCACGATGAGGTGGGTATATTCGAACGCTTCGTTCTCGCGTTCGTTACGCCGCGGACGCTGCCGTGTATCGCTATGCGCACTGCGTCGCTAGATGTCGCGGCGTTAGTGGCGCACACAGCGCGCGCTCCGATAATATAAATATAATTCGATTGTTCCGCGAAACTGAAACCGTTATCCGTTATCGTACCTTTGTTCAAGTATTGCTGTATGAAATTAATAATTTAATAATGCCTAAGTGTGTACATACGGTATCTCCTGTTCTAAAGATCAAAACTATGTAGATCACACATACTACGTAAAATTAAAATATAAAAAGGAATATCTATAATGATATATATACATATTACATATGGTGCATTCAGTACCACGACCGCTCACTGAGCGCTCAATGAGCTCTCGTATCTGTTTGGTCTATATTTTTAGTTCTAACGGAATGTGCCAATAAAATGCAAGCGCTCACTGAGCGCTCGTTGAGCGATTGTAGTACTAAATGCACCCATTGTAATATATTGGTCGCGTTCAGCAGACTCATGCCTGGTTTATGCTTCGGTCTTAACCCTAAAATCCTAAAATTCAGCCAATAGGTCTGCTAGTCTTAATTGGTCCTAACTGAAATCTGTATTCCATTGGTTAAATTTTAGGATTTTAGGATTAAGACCGAAGCATAAACCAGGCAT